TACCGAAAACAATCACAGCTACTGCCTCACTTGCTCAAAATAAAGCAAAGCTACCAGACTCTTTCTCACCTACATGCATTTCTGCACCCTTAACCCTTGGATACATATGTCACTTAGGAACGTGTGCCACTTAGACGTTAACCATTCCTTGTTGTATCATTATGGTCATGCCTATGCAGGCGTGTCTCCCACCGTCACGGATAAAACATTTATTTTGTTATGTACTTTTTGCTTGATAAATGCGTTTCCAGATGATATTATGTAAAGCAACACCTCAACTTTTAATCGGAAACACCTGTACTGAGCTTTTACTTGGGCTCATTTGCCCATGAAGTCATGGATTACAACATGGCGAATTCAGAGGAACTTTGGCTATTTCCACCAGCTTCATAACGTTTCTGGATCCCACTATTATCAGTTGAACTCAAGTGCATAAACTACGAAAAATTGGTTGCAACTTTCTTAAACCAAACCTTTTACTATTCCAAAGCAGCTATGCTTGTATGCATATTTGATCATGCCTTCACCTGTATGCCTCGTTCTACCGAGGACATACCATTTAATTATTTAATTATACCTTAGTAGCGCAACCATTATACTGACTAATAACTTAAGTACTTTTTGTTATTGCATTGAAGTAATACATATACGGTCAGCATATGCAGAAACAACCAAGGGTAGTTAAGGTGTTCTGGTTTGACTTGTAAGAAATCTGGAAGCATCCTGCTTTGGCTCACGAATAATCTGGCCACCTAACATACACTGTACCTAACGCGTGTGTCGCCACTGCCATAGTAGAGCATTATATTCAGACGTATCCGTTGGTCGCCGTGACATGCGCCTCATGGGTTCTAGCAGCGTTGTGTTCAGTTTGCTCGCGGTAGGGCCTATATACACGTGTTCACAGTTGTTGCGGACACGTTTATGAAAGCAAATAGTCATCTTACCTAGGAGAAGTTCGAGTTTCAGATACACCAATGTTGAACAGATCCCAACTTCTATTCCTTGGCTAGCACCCTCTGAAATAAAAATGAACTTCCTTCTACCTATGCTATTCTTATCGTCCCAATCCATTCCGTCGTATATTTTCATTAGAGTTTTCACAGACGATTTGGGGTGTTCACTGTCCTGCAATTACATTACTGTCTATTGCAAGCTGCCTCCTCTGTGCACAGGGCCTCATCTCGGTGAAGCACCGATAAGGCACTCCAAACATACACATGCTTTGAATGACCGGAACTCTAGTGCGGTGTCCCATCTGTGTATGCCGGTTGACGAAATATCGGTTTCGAAGCTAACCATTCCAGTAAACAGAGAAGTCAAAAAATGGCCATGTGTCACTCCACGGTGAACGATTTCTGGTTCTTCGCAAACTAGTTTTTATCCACTTTTACGTTTAATATGTGTCACCCACTTGATACCAACAAACATTGGCTATTTACTGGAGTTTGCCAATACTATGTACAAAATAGTGCACTTTGACGATCTCATGTTAAAGCCAAGTTCTTGAGGGCCTACTTCCGACTGAACCCGGCCTAAAACCAGAAATGGCGCAATGCCGTTCTCTCGGTTGTTTCAACCACCTTAAACTTCGGCCAATCCCCAGGTGGCTGTCTACAGTCAAACAGCGTTTCACCATATCCAGCGCGTCGCATTTTCGCGCATTGGTGAGAAGTGCGCTGATGTCAACATAGATCATCGCTTCATATTTGTTTCACACGAACTTATAACGGTTCGTTACCAAAGTATTCGTCCACCTCGTCAACGGCTGCAATAGACTAGCACTTGCATACAGGCCAGCAACTGCAAGCTATTGTTAAGCCGTTAACCGTATCACAATTAAGACGGCGCCCTTCCGCAGTCCCTGCGGTACATCGTGCATTGCGGTGCATACGTTGATGGTCACCTCACTTAATTCGGCCCCGCCCACCGTTAGCTAACGCTGGGTGTGAATTCCGCAGTAATGGTATCGCGCATCGATTATTTCACATAGCCAGGTACACACGCCATGATACGTAGACACCGCTAAGCATAGGTCATACCACACGAACTTGACCAACATGCCCTCTTAGCTTGCGTGCAACTAGCTTCAGTGTGGCCAATGGCTGCTGAGTTTCAGTGGCCGGCTCACCTCAAGACCGGTGGAGAGACGCGGATGAGGATACGCGAGGCGATTTTCCGGCCATGCAATTGGTTCTTTGTGTGTCTTGATGTCGTTCCATGAGTGGGTGTGGTGTAAACTATTTCCCCAACCACGCATGGGCGTCACGCGCTTGGCCACATGTACTTTCGACGTCCGTGCGTATAACACCTGATGTGTTTGGCGGTCGCAGCGACAAACGTGAGTTTAGTAAGTTGAATGCATGGACCAAGCACGCTGCAACAGTTGCTGAGTGCTCGTGCTTTTGGGCAGGGCACCAGTAGCTGACTTGCAACTAGTCACGACAAACGGCACGCATTTGTGCGTGTGCGTCACATTGGATTCAACATGATGTGTTTATGGATTCAGTCGAATATTCGTATGGAGGAACATGATTTGCTTAAGGAGAAGCTTGATTCCGTTAGGGATTCAATTGACTCGGAAAAAGTATAGCTAACCTACATTCACCATCATATGCAATATCCACTGGTCCTGTAAGGCGTCGTCCTTGTTCCCACTATTCCTCAGCTATATCAACGATGAGTACAAGGAGTTAAATATCGAAAACCATTTCCTTTTGCGGCAGATGTGAGGATAATCTCTACGTTTACACCTGAATTTCTGCAGATAGTTATCAAAGCCATTCAAACGGACCCGCATTTTTCTTGAGTTCTGGTCAAATAATGGATTGAATAAATTCTCTGTTCAAAAGTCCCGCGTCCTCTGAGATGTAGCATCCCGCCGGGCACTTTAATTCTAAACGTGGAAGCAATCCATGCCACTCAGTACATCTACCACCTAGTAATTAGCTACAAAGACACTTAGGTTCCAAAATACATGCTTACCAACCGTTATCAAACGCAAGAGCTGTTTTAGGTTAACTTAATAACTCAATTATCTAACCCAAAGCTGGGCTCATTATTTGAACTGCGTAAGCCCACTTTTGGAATTCTGCCCGCTTATATACGTTCTCATGCGCAAGACTGATTTACCATCACTAGAGCGTTTACAGCAGAAATTCACCAAAAGCCTTATGAGTGAATAGCCGCTAGCAAAATATCACAATAACTTTTAGCTATTGAGCACCGATCCTCTATGGATACGAAGAGTAAATATGAAGTTAGTTTTGTTCTACTAGATGTTACAACATGTCAGTTTCAGCACAAATATCTAGTTGTAGTTCAAGAAGGGTAATTACTACAACTTAAGGAACAGAAAATATATTCTTCCTCAACAAAACTTCACGTCGCAAATTTACGTTAACGTTTTCGTAATTCGATATTCTGTTGTACACTCAGTAAATCAAGTAAATCAATCGGTCTGTTCAAATCTGCGCCAAAGCAACCTCTTTTATTAACTATTGCAGCTAAACGGTTGGAACGACAGATAACGATCGAGAGAAACTTAACAAAAATCACGCAACATAGTTGTCACCCAGTCAAATCCATCCTTTGATTTAAGATTTATGTTGTACTGTCAATCAGGAAAACACACATTTGGCGACAGTTTTGGACGTATAGCAGTCAGAATCCACGGGATGGATATCCGCCTAATCTTACATGCAAGCCACTTTACATTTTATCTCCACCCTTCACTCTGCTTTACACTACCAATACTTCGCTATACTTCCCTGGAATTAATAACTTGGGTATCTGCAACCGTACTCAGCCCAATACAAGTGATTTTACGCCATCAATCCCTCTATTTGATTGTCTACTGCAGCCAGAGCTTTCCCAGTATTCAGTTGAGCTCTCTCTTTTTGTAATAAATACTTCAGGTTATTTGTTTTCTATTTTCCTTATGTACAATTTGAATCCGACTGCCATCAAACATGAGCCCATCACCTACCGTGACTGTTCTTTCATACCAGTTCTATTCATTTTTTCTTTTACCATGATTGGGCACGATTAGGTCAATCGCCTGCGGTGACGTATTGAAGCTTCCAAGCTATATAGTATACCCAAGCAACGAAAATTGTTACATATTCACTGGAGAAGATAACAGCTGCCTTGTGTAATTCGGAGTATGGCGGGGGTGCCAAGCATGTAATAATTCAAAATACGTATCAACGTGATGACAATGTAATTGCATATAACAAAGGCCGTAAAAAGTCTCAAGTTGATAACGGCCCCTTTGCTTATAATAACGGCCCATGCAAAAAATCAACCTGATGATGGTTTGCTTGCATATAACAAAAGCCGAACGACAACGGGTCAAATGGTGACGAATTACTTGTTGTAAGCTGCTTCCGCACATGGCCAGATGAGATGTGAAAGTGCGAATGAAACCTTTTGAGGGATAACCCCACATGGAAGCAGGTCCCCAAGAGACGGTTCCATGGATGGCCGTATTATTTTACTTGAACTGCCGGCTATAAATACATTTATTCCTACTCTCAGACTCTCCATCTATTACCACTTTTAAATGATAAATAACTGCCAACCCTTCATTGAGACCAGTGCAAAATTCGAACCATTTTATCCACTATTTGATTATGTTGTACGCAATGATCAGGCCACGTAACCTGTCTGCCTCGCAAGGTCGAGAGCTATGTCACTGTTTTACTTATTTTATTTAATATTTTCTGGGGAACCGTGTCATGTAGTTGCGAAAAACATCATTTGCTCATTCACCATTCCCGAAGATTTACTCCATGTTCCTTTTTCATCTTTTTGCTTCTTCAACCACTCCCTCTACTCTGGTGAGTTAGAAAACTCACCCTTCTTAAAATGCTGCCGTATGCATCCTATACATTGTATCGCTGAGCTTAATATCACGTTAGAGTATGTACATGTACCCATACTGTAAAAGGTTGGCGTAGAGTTTCTTTCCTACGACAACTTTTGCAATCATAATTTACCTTGTGTCTCAGGTTTGTCAGAAACTTATAAAAATGATATGTTGGCTGAAGATAACAGCCAATCTCCAGCGTCTTCACTTGATCTCCACAGAGGATTCCTTGGTCTTTGCAAGCCCAAGGTAGAATGGCAAGGGACATCAGCTGATCCAGCGCTTCACTGGGCCTGTTGTTTTGGAGCAGGTAAAACATTGATTAGAATACATGGAGAGGAAGGATGGATGTTTTCAAAGGTGACAGAAATAAGGGTCCAGGGGAAAATGCGTACACAGAAAATGATTACAAGGAAAAGTTCATACCAGGAGAATGGCGCACACAGGATATGGCGAACACGGAAATACACCAGTTCGATCGCTTTGCACATAAAGGACTGCCCTACGTGCCAGTTCCACCTTAACCCATTAAGACTACTCAACAAACGGAGCACTGCAGTTATTTAAAGCCTCAGTGATTCGGCAGCTCTAACGCACTTGTGTGACCAGACCGAGTTCGTGGCTAGCGTAGCCTTGGCTTGATGAGGTTGTTGACCGTGTCAAATGACTGATAGCCATTTTCGCACAAGGGTACGTTCCACATAGTAAATTCCCCACCCAGTAATCGCTTGAACGAAAATTTGTGGCAATGCGCAGAGGTATCCGGTTTGGTTGAGTACAATGTGTACAATCGTACTCAAACTAACTTATTCCATTGCGCACTTAGACGACCGATGAGGAATATGGACTGTCAGTTCAAGACATTTTAGTAAATCGAAAATCTTGGCAACAGTCGGCTCCTTCGCACATTTGCGACACGCGCTGTTATTCCTTCTTCCCAAACCAGCACGGTTCACCGGGGTCAGTACATAGGGGGCAATTGTATGCGCACAACAGAAGTGTGTCCTTTCATGATTCCGTGCCTCCGGATTGATATTTGAGCCCGCCGCCATACAGCGTTCGCGAACTCGGTCTGACCACACCGAGTGCGTTAGAGCCACCGAATCGCTGAGGCCTCGGCAAACTGCCATAGCGGGTTGTACTCTGTGCGTTGAGTAATCTGAATTAGGCATGGGCGATTTGGCACGTAGGGCAGTCGTTTATGTGCAAAGCGATCGAACTGCTATATCTCCGTGTCCGCCATATACCGTGTGCACCCTTTTCCTGGATGAAATTTTCCGTGTACGCATCTCTCCGTGTAGTTAACTTTCTGTGTACGCTTTTTCTGTGCAGGCTATTTTCGTGTACACTTTCATGGTGGAATTCTAAGTTTCTCCTCTAACCAACCGGTTTCATTCGATATAAACCACTGACATGCTGGTGGTTCGGGGGCACTGAGCAAACTACACATAAGTGTACAACATCGTCTTTTGCACCGATCAAAACAAGTGCATGCCGTGTGATAGAAAGTAGCCTTAACTACGTCACGCTTGGCCCTTGAAAACCGTTCCGTGTTGAAAGAGTATACGAAAAAAGCGTACGCGAAAAAAGCATACAAGGAAAATTTCTTACGCGGAAAAATGACCGTCACACGCTATGCACTTGTTTTGCTAGTTGTAAGCGACGATGTGTTACGCTGGTGCGCAGTTTGCTCAGTGTCCCCCAATCACCACTATGCCAGTGACTCACATCGACTGAAACCGTTTGACTGGAGAAGAAACTTAGCAATACCGGTACTCTGGAACGACCAATCATGTATTGTAAATAAAAACACTCACTTTTCCGGCGGAGTTAGTGTATCCAATTGCCTAAAGTTACTTTGGCTGATTAGAGTACGGTTGTGATGCACTGTACTTCATCATGGCTGTTGTTACCGTTGACATGTAATTAACGCGTCATTTGCTCGCATGTGGTAGTCATCGACAAAATACACGTGTTTCCATTGCATCCAAGTTAACATTACGCAAGTTTTCGAAATCTACTGGGACCAGCAGTTTGGTGGCGTTGTCGGTTCGATAGCATTTGCGTGTGTGAAGGACTGTTTCTCGACAGTACTGACTTGCACATTTATGGGTCCTCGAATACAAACCTAGGCTACTTCGAAAAGTATGCAACGGAGTCCAATTATCAGCAGCAATACGTGTTTCTAAAGGCAAATATCCTGATTACAATGAAGTCACACTCACTAAGACGGAAATGTGCCCTAGAGTTCCTCTCGAGCAAATTATTTTGCGTTTGTTCTGCAATGCTAATTATCTTCTACTTATCTTTTCCCCTGGACCCCTCCCCTAGGTACGAGCTGCTGTGTTACGTGCTCAGCGAAATCAATGTTGATTTAATCCTTCTGCTTCTGGACTGAATCCATTTGATAACACCTTCCGAAAACCTACCATGATCTTCCACGCTTACGTTCACTCTGAACAAATCCCCTCATCGAAATCAGCTTCTCCTCTTACCGCACACAGCTGAACAGTTGGAACGACGGTTAACTTACTTTACTTTGCGTACAGTCTTCTCTCCCTCCCTGAAAAATACCATGCGTACATACAACATTTCCCAGTACCATACAAAATTATTTCGCATCACCAATTTTCCCATTTTGATCTCCGACAGCTACCGTTTTGTATTAGCCACAATTGCTCATGCGGTTACAAGCGCATATACGCGGTTATCACAGGAGAAATGCTATCTTCGTATTTTTGTGTCCAAAATAGAAAATTTAGGCAGCAAAAAAAACATATATAAAATATTCTGTTGTGAATGCATGCGACGTGAATCCGTGTACTTACTGTAAAGGCGTCGAAACGACTAGCTTAGTATAGAGTGTTAGTACATGTATTCGAGCATTCTAACAAAGGAACTGCGGCTCGCGACCTCAAACAGCAATACTTGAATCCACTCACAAAATCGATTCCCGTTTGATGTAAAGAAATATTCCATCCTAATAATTAAGTCAAAACGTAGTGCTAGCCTGCGTTTATTATTCGGAGCATAAAATTCATCAGTTTGGCCGGTTATGCACATCTCCATTCATTTGTAAGTTAAGTACAGCGGTATCAAGAGTTGCGTTGTTTACACACTTAAAACTATTCTACACAGAGTAAGCAGTGCTATGAGATCATCTTACTTGCTCCACTGGTTTGCTTCAGATGGATCCCTGTACGTTCTGCAGACTTGAAGAGCCAGTATCACCAAGGCGTTTACGAAAGCACCAAATGACAACAGACTCCACGGACTGGGTGTTTCATGCTCTTCATTGAATTTGTTGAGGTCAACTAAAATGAAAATTAATGAAGAAGCCATTCTGCTTGAGCGGTTTTCGCATTCCGGTAAAACACTTCAGTAGTGTAGTTAATAAACTTGAACGATAGCTGTTAACCTCCTGATTCAATAGAAAGCACTCGTCATGCAACTTTACTAAATCGCCAGTTTGCGTTTACCCACTTTATTCCACCACCCTCATCATTCAGACTAACCTAAACGGCACAAGAGGCAGCCAACGATGGGGACAACAGTGTAGCCGTACGTACCAAAGTGCGCCTTCCTATTACATTTCGTCTACGCAGATCATACCGCCAACAGGGATTGTCTGCATTTCCATTACCCCCACGGATATACTGAAGTGGCGGATGTCTTTGCGTGAGTACAGCTAGCCTGTTGTAGACCTCATTCGTAAGAAAGTTTCCAAAATGGCTACCATGTGTTTAGCTGAAACGTCAGCAAAATTCTTTCAGCAATGTCTTGACGAGTAGCCGGTTAGCAACTTTTGGAAACACGAAATCATCACTCATATAGACAAAAATGGTGTCTGTGCTGAACCAGCAAATTATTGACCGATAAAACTACTTCCAAAGATCTCCAACGTCACACAGTCCATTGTTAGTGGGGCACTCAGAAGGTTCCTGGAGAGAAAGACAATTCTCGTTCCGCAACAGCACGAATTTCGCCAATATCTGTTCTGTAATACTAACCTGCTGACAATTCTTACATGGTGGACGGAATGTGTAAATGCTGGTGTGGGAGCAGATGCCTCCTATGCGGATTACTCGAAAGTAATCGGTCGCCGTCTTCTACTTAATAAACTTCGGGATTATGAAATCTGCGATCCTGTTCTGACTCGGATAGGCGATTTTCCAGTTCAACCATTCGCTGTACCCTACAACGACAACTCGAAGTCCAGGTCGGCGTACCTCAAGGCTAAGTAGTCTGGCCCCACTGCAGGAGAAATACGCCATGCACGCAAGGCAGCGCTGACAGAATTACCCCCTCACCGCCCGCAATACCGAATAAAGCAGGTCGACAATGAAGGTCAAAGTTTGTCTCGCTTTCCCCCACCACTCAAAATTATAGCTATAAAGTCTACAGCGGAGGTTATCGGATTATACGGGCCGATCTCATAATGGGGCATTAGACCATAGAATCCCCAAGTACACTTGCCACCATCTTTTGTGACGCTGGTCAGTAGCTTAAACTAGCTACACGGTGCAGCCGATTGGGATGTCAACAAATCTGTTTCTCCCTCCAAGTGTCATAACCGTAGAACTCCTTACCAACGCATGTAGTCAATCTCCATAACTTATCCATACTCAATAGCCACTTGACGATACACTGACAGAGTTCCACTAGGTAATCCAGCCCATGATCATCAGATGATGGCATGAGTACCGAACAAACAGTGGATGGTTTCATAGTCATTTTAAACTTCAGCCAGGATTACTCACATCTTGCTAGCACAAACCTCCTGGCGTTTCATGCGTCTCGCGCGTTCTTCTCTCAACACTGGGTTTTGTTTTTTTAATTTTTACCCCAACCAGTCTACAGGATTTGTCAAGCACTTGCTTTGCTTTATTGCTCCATCCGGGGAAAGTTAATCATGCCTGGAAATGACACGCATCATGCACAAACCGTGCAAACGTTGAAATAGAGATGTGTGGATGCCACATTGGCAAATTGTGGCACAGTACGCTTCATCATAAAGGATTTGAGTGAAACTTTGATCCCGTAACTAACAATAACATGCGCCGACATTTCCGTCATAGAATGAGTTAAGTGCAAAATTTATTTCCTTGAATAACGTGGACCATTGCGTTGGGCAGATATCTGAGAATAAAACTGTTTTCTTACTCATGAACTGGTTGTGTTATCACAGAATGCGTGTAGTCCTACAAAAGTTATCTACAGTGCACTTTCCGTCACCGGTGTAGCACGACGGAGTAGTACTGTGGGTGAATGTTAACAATAATTCTGTCGGTAAACAGGAAATTCGAGGCAATCGCAAGGTAGTTCGTTTAATAACGTTCTGCGAAGAAGCATAGATTTTCTCATGCACTCATGAAGCAAGAAGAACGGTTATCTTGCCTGCAAGCAAAGTCCTCCAAGCATCATCCTAGTACGATGTAAAGGGGAGGTAATGAAAGCTCAGAGCCTGACGAATTGATTACTATGACACCAGTTGACAAGGGACGGATAACTGTCATAACGCACAGAGAGGATTACAATGGGAAATATACATGGCACTAGAATGACAAAACAAACAGCAGGTGCATCGATACCGATCCAACAGCGCAGCTGACAAACAAAATATACAGAACCTTTAAACTGCTTTATGAATTGAGACAAATCACGAAGCAGGACAGCAAGAGAGTGAGATCGCGCGACTAAACATAGCGCGATTCTACGGACTCTCTAGGGTACACAGCAATGGTGCACTGTCGCGGCCGACCGTGTCTTTTCCGGAAAAATCCATATAAAACGTCATGAAGGAATAGTGAAGATGCCTCAAGCATCTGACTAGTAGCTTGCCATACTCCATGACCAGTATCCAGTAATTTCTACAACAGCTTGAATATCCGTGGATAGATAATGAGAAGAAAATGATACCAATCGATGTGAGTTCTCTCTTTTCGTCTGTAAACTTACGGTCAGCGACAGTGGTAATCAAACAACGCCTGAATCACAGCGAACAACCCCTCGGAAATATTCCGACCAAAAATGCATGCCGATTGCTCCTCTGGTGCCTTTTAATCCATTTACCTTTCAAAGGGAATATTCACGAGCAAATGGAAGGCGTACCAACGAAATAATCTGTATCGGGACGCATCGCAGAAATAGTTATAAAGAAATTGTAGGAGGATGTACTCCCACTCATTTGTCCCAAACTGTGAATCCGGTAATTCGACGAAACGTTTGTGTTTATCAGACGCAGTCAAGGAACAGCCGCAGAACTGGTATTGAACAACGACTTGAAAAGCATCCAAATTACAGTAGAACCACAGAAATTAGTACAACTTCCATTCCTGGACGCACTAGTAACCACAACCATAGAAGGAAGGCTGCGTGGACCAACTTCTGAACTTCAAAGGCAACCAATCACATGATGCCACAAAGTTAGCTGAATGGGGACACGATTCCTCCGGGTGCAGAAAAACTGCATTGCCACGGATGCAAGGCGAAAGAAAGAGGAGCGCCTTCCTAAACGTTTACAACTCAACGGATACCGAATCACAACAACGCAGTCTGAAACCACGATAGAGATAGGGGGTGTTTTGCTCCATATGACAAAAACCTTTTTCAGATGTAAATCAATACTTAATCGAACAATGTTATTTTCGATAAAGCATTTCAGGAATCCAAACTGTAAAAGCAAATTTATGACGTAATTAAGCTCGTGAAAATTTGTCAGATGCGGATAAATATAGACTAACAAACGTTTGTGTACAGCTGATTGACCAAGCAGTAGGAAACACCAACCAAAGCGTTATTCAAGCAGACTAGCCAGCACACAGCAATACACGTGAGCAACACTGTACAACTACTGATGGAGCGAGTTTCTAACCAAGGCAAACAAGGCGTTTAAATGAGTCCACTATGGATACAGCTATAGTTTCTAACCCTTGATTAAAATATCTTCAGCGATGACCAATAGATATTTCTTAAGCATTTTGGGTGACGTTTTGGATTGTATAGACGAGTTTAAAAGGCCCCTTTCGATCAAACATTTTAGCGAGTTTCAACCAAGTGTTGCAGAACGGGACTGTTAATGTTCTTCGACCAGTCTGTCCGCAGTGATGCAGGAGTCTTCAGCAATCCATCTGGACAAGCACCAAGTGGTGAATACAAGAGATTTCGCACCACAGGTGCAAGTGAATGGACATAGGATGAAAATGTCGGACGGCACCGGGGGACTGTCCATTAGGTGATGAATAATTCAACGCTTTGTTTCGATAAGTAGTTTTAGCTTAGAAGCTAGGTATGTCTGCACCTCTGCGGTTGAAACTTTTACTCAATATTTCGAAGTACATGTTTTCGACAATTCATCTCCAAGCTTATACAATTATATGCAAAACGAAATGAGTTGACACAAGTTACGAGTTGTTAATCCAGGTGCGGGTCCATTTGACGCAAACAGTGGTTAAGCATTAGGTTACGACAACCGATCGCTTATGATATCCTAGGTCAGAGGTCACCAGCCGTTTGGTCCAAGCTAGTACCAATCCTCTAGTTAGCATTTTCTGGACATAGAGTTCCAGTTCGTACAGTCGGATCGCAATTACCTCAATAACATTTACCACTCGTTTTCGCACGTAGTTCTATCGGTTCATCGGAAGCAGACAGATGCTTTTGAAGGAGTAAGCCGATTTGCTGTTTATCCATGGTGGTGGTTCCATCCTGCTTCCACTTCCAATCATTGTCGTGGGACCAAGGTATTTGTTCCACAGAGCAGGAAAAGGCCTAACTACACTCTGACTAGGCGTGGACACACCCCTTGTCCTTTGAGTTTGTTCTCACCATGGGAGTGACACTAAATTGGATTTACATTTCGTTTCGGTATTCCTAGCCTCTGTAACCACGTTACATTGGAGTGACGCCACCTAATAGATCAGTTTAACCGAGTGCATTTTGTTGTGCGTGGCCCTTAGCTAGAAAACGGAACAGAACACGCAGAAGTATTATGTAACCGTTTTAATGAAAGCTTCCTACATTAACGTGGCTAGATATGCCAAAATAAAAACCAATAAAATAAGATAGGTAAGGCAAGGCTGTTGTCAACGAATCATGTCAGCGTCTGTGTTCACGAATCAATACTCAACTGCATAAGTGATAGCACAGAAGAAGCAACAGTCTGTAGTTTGCATAGTAGAACGCATTCAAATTTTCCTCTACAGCTACGATACAAAAACAAGGTTACGACGGAACGATTATCTCGCCGTCTGTCGCTTACACTCAGACGCACCTATTCGACAGCGCAAATGTAAATCCAATTTGGTATCATTCC